TGTAGTTCCCGGGGTCCTCCTTGCTCCCTTTCTTGTAAATGGGAGTGACATGACCCTTCCTCCAGTCATCCAGAACCTCATCTGACAGCCACAGCTTTTCAAACATGATGGAGAGAGGCTCAGCAACCACCTCAGCCAGCTCCTTCAGAACCCTGGGATGCATGCCATCCGGCCCCATAGACTTGTACGCATTCAGTCTCATGAGGCTGTCTCGGACTTGCTCTGCCCTTACATTGGGGGGGGGATTTACTGCCCTGGTCCCCACCTAGAGGTTTAGGGATGCAGGACTCAAGGACGTGAGAAATACTAGAATCCTGGCTGCCAGTGAAGACTGAGGCAAAGAACTCATTCAGTACCTCAAGCCTTCTCTTCATCCGTTGAAGCCAGTTCTCCCTTTACATTTACTAAAGGAGGTACACTTGCTTTGGCCTGTCTCTTCTGGCCAATGTACCTGTAGAATGCCTTCCTGTTGTTTTTCACGTCCCTCACCAAGTTCAGTTCTGCCTGTGCCTTGGCTTTCCTGATCCCACATCTGCAAGTCCAGACGGCATCCCTGTATTCTTCCCAGGTGACACACCCTTGTTTCCAGAGCTTGTATGCACCTTTCTTTGCTCAGGTCCTTGCTGAGCCATGTTGGTTTCCTACCTCCTCTGCCTACTTTCTTATTCAAAGGGACAGAGAGCTCTTGTGCTCTCAGGAAGGCATCCTTGAAGAGTAGCCAGCTCTCCTCAACATCTTTATTTTTAAAGACAGCATCCCAGGGGATCTTGGCCAACAATCCATTTAACAGCTTAAAGTTCGCTCTTCCAAAGTTCAGGGTCCTGACACCACTCTTTGCCAGGCCCACATCCCTCAAGATCATGAACTCGACCAGGGCATGGTCACTGCAGTCCAGGCTGCTTCCAACCTTAACGCCTTTAATGATCTCCTCCACCTTGGTGAGCAGCAGGTCCAGCAACGCTTCACCTCTGGTCAGTCTGTCCAATACCTGGACCAAAAAGTTATCAATGGATTCCAGGAGCCTCCTGGACCTCTTGCAGCTTGCTGTGCGGTCTTTCCAACAGATACCCAGATGGTTGAAGTTCCCCACCAGGATGAGAGCCTGTGAGCACGATGCCTCCCGCATCTGAAGCGGGAAAGCCTCATCAACAGTCTCCCCTTGATCAGGTGGCCTGTAGTATACGCCTATCACCATCTGGCCTTTGTTAGTCCCATCCCAAATTCTAACCCACAGGCTCTCAACCTCCTGTTCCTGACTGTTTCTCAGCTTCTCCCCCTTGCTTCAGCTTTCTTCTTTTCCTCTTTGATTTCCTTTTCTAGTTCTTACACTTTATCTAATTATTTTTCTTACTTTCTTCTAATTTTGATTATTTTCATTTACCAAGCCTTAGTATTTTCCCTTTTTCTAATTATATATTTTTTTTTATTCCAGTTGTTTTTCCTGATTTTTTTCTAAATCATTTTCCAATTCTTTTCCAATTCTACTTCTTCTGTTTCTCATTCTACTTCTTTCTGATGCTTTTCCATTTTGTAATTCTTTCCTTTTCTTTTAGATTTACAAAAAATTAGAAATATATTTCTCTAATTTCTTTTTGGTTTTCTTCTAGCTGTTTTTCAAATGCTTTTTCATTTCTTTAATTTAACTCCTCATGCAAATCTAATTATTTTTCTAATAGTTTTTTATACTAATACTTTTTCTTTTTTAATTTTTCTTTTAGCAATTATCAAATTATTTTTCTTGGCCCCACCCACTCTCTTCAACTTTCATTTTTTTTGTTTTTGAATTCTAATTCTTTCATTTTCTAATTCTACTTTTTTCATTTTCTAATTCTTTTTCTTACTGTTTTTCTTTTTTCCTCAAATTCTTATTCGTTTCAAATTTCTTCTTCAAATTTCTTTTTAATTCTAATTGTTTTTTCTTTTCAAATTCCTTTTCTAATTCGTTTTCTAATTCCATTTCCAATTCCTTTTCCAATTTTCTTTTCCTAATTCTCTCATTGTTTTACAAATGCCTTTTCCTTCTATTTTCCTGATTATTTTCTAAAGCTTCTTTTTTTTATAACTTCTCTCATTCCTTTTCTTCTTTTCTTTCCTTTTCTAGTTCTTTTTCCAGCTCTTATTTTTTATCTGATCTTGTTGTCATTGGTTTTCCAATTCACTTCATGTTCCCTTTTGCATTCATGTATAATCAATGAACATAGATGTTGTAATTAAGAAAAATACAACAAAGTTAGGCTAAACAGGTTATCACGATAAAGAAGAATAGATAGAAAGCTTACCATTATCATAGGCCAGTAGATAGGAGGCAGTATCCCTGCCAGTGTATCCTGTATTTTCTTTGTTTTCTGAATTACAACAGGACGGACCTCTAGCAGATCTGTTGCAATCGGAGCTTTGAGATCTAATTTAGAATTTTTATTTTCCTGATCAACAAAGTCCGTTGATTCAGGAGCCTGGCCATTCTCTATTGAGATGTTGCTAACTTGACCTATTGGAAGACGCAAAATTGGTTTCTTCCCTGTTAATATGCCAAGTTCTTGCTCTAACTTTCCAATACAGTCTCTCAAAAGTTAGTTTTCATTTTCTGAATTATTATTCCTCATTTCAGTGTAATTTAAAGGATTTAAGAGTGGTCATGCCACTGTGGAGACAGCTAATTGTTGTTTTTTCATGATTAGTATATCTTCAGTATGTCCCTGGAAGTAGTCTGCCATGGGATATGGGGAGATATTTCCCATAACATGTAACATGTAGGGGATCCTATTTTTCAATGATAACCACTAGTTCATAATAGGGAGATCCCACAAATCTGGGTATCTGTCCTGGAATCATTTTATCAGAGACGGATAATGTTCTCCCCTCTGACCCATTTATAGAAATTCCATAGAAAGGATACAATATAAGCTTTAGTATATTCCGCCTGCTAGCTCACCAAGTGTATAAACAAGGAACACACAAATGTTACAATTAAGAAATATACAAGAAAGATAGGCCAAACAGGTTATCGTGCTAAAGAAAAATAGATGGAAAACTCACCCTTGTCCTGGACTCAGGGTCCTGACTCTGCTTTTGCCAGGCCTGCATTCCTCCAGATCACAAAGTCCACCAGGGCATGGTCACTACAGCCCAGGCTGCCTCCAATCTTAACCTCCCTGATGCTCTCCTCTGCATTAGCGAGCACCGGGTCCAGTAGGGCTTCATCTCGGGTCAGTCCATCTAATACCTGGACCAGGAAGTTATCCTCAACAGACTACAGGAATCTCCCAGACTGTCTGCCACTCACTGTGCTGCTATCCCAGCAGATTTCTGGGTGGTTGAAATCCCCCATCAGGACAAGAGCCTGTGAGTGCAATGCTTCCTGTAGCTGAAGTAAGAAGGCCTCGTCAACAGGCTCCCCCTGACCAGGTGGCCTATAGCAGACCCCAACCACTAGATGCCCTTTACTGGGCCAATCCTTGATTTTAACCCACAAGGTCTCAACCTGGTCATAGCTGTTTCTCAGACGCAGCTCTTCACAATCTATCCACTTCCTAACATGGAGGGCAACTCTCCCACCCCTCCTACCCTGTCTATCCCTTCTGAAAAGCCTGTAGCTCTCTATCAGAGTATTCCAAGCACAGGGTCCTAATTCTGCTTTTTGCCAGGCAAAATCCTGGAACAAATTTTCAGTCCTGGATCAAATTTTCATTGCCCCCCCCCACATACATGCTTTCCATCTGATCTGATTGCACTGGAAGGGTGCACTTCAAGACAGGCAGGTACACCCAAGTGGGGCTGAGACAGAAACAGAGCAGTACAAAGTAGCTGGGGTCAAAACACTCGGGACAGCACACAGTTGTCACCATCAGTGCTGTGACAGCTGCACATCAGAACTATGGCACTGCTTGGCACCACCTGCACATGGGAGTCAGTGTTACAGCAGTGCTGACAAGTATGTGTCACTGGAAACAGCGCAGTGAATACTTCCACCAAAAGAGGGCCTAAATCCCACATTCCTTACTAGGAATCACCATGACCCACACACTGTTTCTCTGCTTCACAGCACCATGCATCCCAGCTACACGTTGTAACACCATGATCTCGTACCTCATGTAAGCCCCACTCACTGTATCAACCAAGAAGTCAGGAACAGAATAGATGCTGAGGTATATAGCCTCCCCCCAAACCATCCACAATTGAAAACAGTTTATTTTGACAAAACTGGAGTGAACCACGGAGGAAGGCATTTAAATCTCTAAATGTAGTGTCCTGAGATACAAGGATAATCATTTCCTAAAGCCAGGCATCAATAGCATGACTTATCATTTCTAATACCCCAGCATAGTACTAGACTGCTAGAGGAGACTACTTTGAGGCCTATTTAGCTACCACCCATGTCAAGCAAGCATAAACACCTTCCACAGTTGTATGCCTTCTTCTCACATCAGTTATCTAGTGAAAAAGATAAAAGCTTTCAAAAACAACCTTCAGTTGTCACGATAGAAACTAAAACTGCAGTCAGCCACAAAATCCTACTGCTAGCTTTTATATAGGGAGTTTGATCCACCCAACACTTAAATGCCCCCTGATTTTTCATAGTCCCTTTATCAAGCATGTATCCAGAAAAGTTTAACTTTCTAGTCATGCAGACATGTATTGTTAAAGTAGCTAGCCAGAAAGGCAGTAAGTTAGAATAGAATATCCAAGTCTTTTTACATGGCAACTTTTATTCTCAGCGAGATATGTATATTTAAGTCACACATACTTTTAGGTCTTAGATGGAACTGGAGCATGTAACCACAAGAACAGCCTGGTCTGTTTGAACAGATGAGCTTATGCCTCGAAAGTAGACAGGAAGTTTGTGACTATTTCCTTCAACTTAGCTTCTGTCTGGTCAGAGATCTTCCCTTCAGTCCTGTCAAAAGAGAGTTTAGTTAAACTTCTAACACAGGAATAAGTGCAGTCAATTCCTAAGGAGAAAAAAAAAAACACTAAAAAACCAACCCACACATTTTACTAACATAACATCCTTTCTCCTCAAGAAGAGTTCGCTCTGTTTAAGAACTAAGCTTTGTCAACAAATGCTCTCAAAACAGAGCCTTGCTGAACTAGGTACAGCTATCTTCGATATAGCTATGCCCCAGAGAGGGAATATGATAAGACTTGAGACAAAGCAAGCTAGAATAAGCTCATGGCAGGATAATGAAAATACTCAAATCCCAACTGTCAGCTCAGTAAAACAAGGCAGTAGGCAGCACTTAATCTACAGTATTAAAGCTATCAAAAATGTGAGATCTGACTACATGAAGCATTTTCAATATCAGCTTACAGGATAGGCATGCAAGTAGGTTCATTTTTTAGCACCAGCTGGGTTTCTGAAGTGAAAGCTGCACACAAGATGCTGAGCTCTGGATAACAGTGCAAGGACAGCAGGCAAGCTGATTTAACCTCCAGTTAGAGGCAGCATAAGGCATGATGTTCTAGGATACATTAACTTAATGGTTCAGCAATCATTATCTGTGCTCCAGCTCTCAGGTCAGTACTCTTAGGATGAAGTAAAATAACAATGTCATACCTGATTGTGGAGAGGAGGGCCTCATGCTGGCTCAGTACATGAGCTAGGAAAGCACTCTCAAATTTAGTGATTTTGCTGGGCTCCAGCTTGTCTAAGTGACCTCTTACACCAGCATAGATGACTGCAACCTGTTCCTCAATAGCCATGGGAACTGCATGAAAGAAAATATTCATATTATCAGCACCTCTTCTATCAGCATACATCAGAATTACAGTCCTCCTCTGAAATCAACTGCATGCATGCAACACAACTCAAGCCTGTGTTTACAATATATGAAGAACATCTTATTGCTGCCACAAAAGACCAACACAAGAAACTAATGCAGACACACCATATCCAAGACACTCACCATACTGTCCTTGTTTCAGGAGCTCTGTCAGACGCACACCACGATTCAGCAGTTGTTGTGTGGCAGCATCCAAATCAGACCCAAACTGAGCAAAGGCAGCTACTTCACGGTACTGAGCCAACTCCAGCTTCATGGTACCTGCCACCTACAAGATACAGACCACAATGAGTTTCACCAGTTTTTAAATCAATCCAGTGGTCAGTAGGTTATCTTGCCAACTTGTGACAGTTTGTCATGGTTTTATGATTTTTGGTTATCAGTATTCCACATCATAACATCATGTAGTGCACTAGGAGTTAAAGTGTTAATGCTCCAGTTCCGGGTACCTGTCTCAGAAGAGAACTACATTCCCCAGAAGACTGTTTGCTGTGTTGTTATCATTTCTGCTCAGGGGGAACAGATATAAGGCCTTGGTAGGTCATCTGACCTCTTTCTTTTTGATCATCAGCCTCTCCTCGCTGCTGCTCATCCTGACCGCATGCATTGCATCAGCACTAGCGTAAGGCCTACAGCTTTCAGATACTCTCTCTCATTATATTTGATTTATTAGCTTCAATTCTAATTATATTGTATTATAGTGTTATCTTGCATTCTGATGACATATTTAGTAAATTAGTTTGTTTCTCCTCAGATCGTTGACACTGTTTTTAATTATTTTGGGGTCCACTGTTTCCTTTTTCCGGAGGCGCAGATTCGCAAAATCCCTCCACCCCACTAGTCACGGAACCAGGCTGAACCAGCCCGTAAACCGTTGACACAGTTGTCACAAGTCAGCTGAACAGACTAATATTTGCATTTCTAAAAATCCTCCCATACTGTTTGGTCTTTTAACATTTTATGCCTCTCTGCATGTGTCACAATTGATATTGTACCTTTCTAACTTTCTAGCTCAGGACTCACTTTGTCTTGTTCACAGGGGCAACTGATACTGGCACTGGTTGGTTCTCTGCTTGAACTGTGGGACTTGTCACAGGAATTAGAGTAACTACAGGACTGGTCGTGAGGGTCATGGCACCTGGAGGGCCCACTGCAGCAGTTGGAGCAACCTGTAGGGCTGTACCTCGGGGCACAGTACACCTCCCTTGGGAGGAATTTATTTTTTCCTTTTTCCCTCCATCACAATACTTGCAACAGCCACGGGATCCATAGCAGGAATTACTGCAGAGCTCATTGTGAGGGTTGGAGAGTCCAAGAGCGTTGTCATCAGATCCATAAACATTCCCTTCCCCTTGAGGATTCTGAATAGTGTTGAACAGTGCTTAGTAGGCAGAGGCCAGGGAACCAGCACACTGCAGTAATTTGTACCTCTTTAGGATTGCCAGGGTGCCAGACCGTGGACAATGCAGTCAGTCTCTCAGGATCAAGCAATACAACAACTACCTCAGAACATTTTTGATTTGTGGGGCAAAAGCTGTGTGTTGAAAACTCATGGGTTTAGTTTGATGGGTGGTATCAAGGTTTGGGACCATGGGTCCTGATATAAGTTGGTTTGCTTAGCAATAGGGATTAGTACATTAGTTTAAGAATCAATATATTAGTTTAGCAAAAGGAATCCATAAGTGATAGTTCTAAAACTTCCCATTTCAGCTTTAATGGATTAACAGTCTTTTTTTTTTCCTCAATAATTTTGCACTGGGGTGAATTAAGGAAAGTAAGTTAGGTTAGAAGTTAAGCGTCTTCATGAGGTGTTGAATCAGCAGCTGCAGATTTGACCTTGCTAAGCCAGGTTCTCGCTGCTGATAACAGATGCTTTTCTACAGACTTAGACAATTAGTGCAGACAGTGGGTCTCCTGCTTTTCCAAATAACACTGTTAGCTATCTGAAATGCAAGGAAGGAGGCTTGAACAGTAAAGCCACAAATTAACGAAGTAGTAGCAGATTGGTGAATGGAGTCGTGGCTGATGAGATAACCAACCAGAGCCAGCCAAGCATCCTCCATCCTAACCCAAGTCCAAGAAAATAAGATGATGACCTTCATAGGAAAGAACGCTGAAAGATACGCATGTGTAAAAGAGCTGAGACTTGGGGCGGGGGGTGGAAAATGTCAATCATTTTGGGGACTCATTGTAATAACCCAGCCTTTTCTTGGAAATCTAATGCATATGTAAGCAGCTTGCTCTTTAAGTATGTGCCTTTCTTGACCTCCGGTATGCAGGCTAGGTGGGAATATCCCCCCTGCATCTGGCATGTGCGCAGCGCTAATTAAACATATCTGCTTTATAACTACTCTGTGGTTATAGAGTTTGATTTCCGCATGTCAGGGGACATAATAGAATACTTTTATCTTCTGCCTCAATGATTTTGCCTCATGAGAAGCACTGGAGTCACATTAGAATACTTTTATCTTTTGCATCAAAACATGCAAGGACATTTTCCTTGGGTTCCATATATATCGTTTTTAAAAAGTGGTTCACTATGGCCTAATAAGCAATGGAAATCTTCCAAACTGAGGAAAAGTGAATGAAATTGAGTCAAAGGGTCCAGTGATGAAGCTGATGGTGAAAAAAGGGGAAGTAGTCGGTGGGCACTCAACCACCCTAAATACCACTGAGCATGCCCAAAGGGATATTAGCACATATCTATGAGACCTTGAAAAAGAGTGAATATGTATGCCAAAGTACTGCATATGTATGTCTTAACTGTATAAAAGTAGAACCTGAACTCTGAGAGTGTGCGCTTGTCAAGTTGCCTGATGCGCATGGTGAGGAATAAAGGAATGCCACTTTCTAACACCACATTGGAGTTCAAGAGTTTTCTTTCTAGATTACAGATGACAGTCCAAAATGCGATGCGATTAATATTTTTCAGTTTTTGCATGCTTGTTGGCATATATTCTTTATAAAAATAAGGCAATCAACCAAATGCTTGTTATTCAAACTAATAAAGAAGAGGGAGATATGGGACAAAGAAAGTCATTATGAACAAAAGACCTTGCAAATGAATAAAAAGCTCAGCAGCTACTTGCACCAGACAAACACAAACAAGGCGCTTGGTTCATACACGTGACCAAGGGAGTTGTTGTGCGGGTATAAAAGGTTACAAGGACATACAATAAATGTCTTCGTTCTGCACCAGCAATGGAGTCTGTGACTCTACTTCCACAGCCCTAGGTGAAGCCACAGTGTTTCTCCCATATCAGCTCCCTGCCTTTTATGTGCTTTAGCATAGCTTCCAGGAGGACTTGTTCCATGATCTTCCCCGGCACAGAGATGAGACTGACAGTTTGGTAGTTCCCAGGGTCATCTTTTTTACCCTTCTTAAAAATGGGTATGATGTTTTATTTTTTCCAGTCACCAGGGAATTCACCTGTTTGCCACGACTTCTGAAATAACAGAGTTGCTTGGCAATCACATCGGACAATACCCTTAGGCCTCTGGGATGCATCTCATCAGCACCCACAGACTTATGGATGTTCAGGTTCCTCAGGTGGTCATGAACCTGATCTTCACTTACAGTGGGAGGGATGTTGCTTCCCCAGTCCCCTCCTATCAAGCCAAATGTTTGAGGCCTGTTTGGAGAGCAGTTATCAGAGAAGATGGAGGCAAAAAATTTAAGTACCTCATCCTTCTCCTTGTCTGTTTTTACCAGCCTGCCTGTGTCACTCACTAGGGGGTTTATGCCCTCCTGGACTTTCCTTTTCTGGCTGAAGTACCTGTAGAAGACTTCCGTGTTCTTTTTGGCATCCATAGCCAAGTTCAGTTCAAGCTGGGCTTTGGCTTTCCTGACCACATCCCTACACAGCCTAGCAGCTTCCTTATAATCTTCCCACGGAACCTGACCTTGTTCCCTCTACCTGTGCATTTTCTACTTACTCTTCAGTTTGACCAGCAACCACACCGGACTCTTGCCTTCCTTTCCTGACTTGCTACAACTGGGGATGGAGAGCTCTTACACTCTTCTTACTGAAGAAAGCCTACTTAAAGATTTCGCTTGCACTGGGGCAAGCCCCAGCAGCCTGTACAACACCCTTCAGCCAGATATCTGCAGCTGCATAACTATATCAAGCACCAAAGGGGGTGTCCTGATCTGCCATAGGGACAAGATGAGGGTCCCCTTAGCAAATGAAAACTGGAGTGTTGACCAAAATATGAGTAGGCCATGTTAGATAACCAGAGGGACTACCAAGCCACCCAACTCCAATAATCTCCCCCAAGGTACAAGTAGGCCATACCACTTCAGTCCTACCTGCTCCTTCCAAGGCCATTTTATTCTATGGATGCTTGGTTCTAAATTCTCAGGGGCGACAGCAGACCTTTTCCAAATATTCTACTAGTTTTTCAGGATTCTGCAGTTGTTCAGAGGTGAAGTTCCAAACCACTAGGGGTGCCCACCACTCTAAGCACTTGCCCATAACCATCCCACATCCCCTGCCACTCAGAACCACCCCACCTTGAGACAGACCTCTGGGTGATATGCTTAAATAATTGTTTAATCTTAAACATAACCTGAAACACATTAATGACACATAGCAATATGAGCACACTGGTTTGAGCAATCCATGGTGTATGGGAACTACTGAATCATAGCCTAAACCTCTGATTAACCACCTGAGGCGAGCAATGAGTCAGCCCTGAGAGCACAGGCGAAGGCAATTCACCTGTGTTGCCAGAAGGGGTGGAGCTTGGCTCCACCTCTCCTAGACCCCATTTAAGAGCTGACGGGGAATGAGAAAAGAACTTTTTCTGGAGGTTTCTGCTTTGCAGTTTTACAGTGAGTCTAGGGCAAGGGTAAGCACTCTATCTATGCTTTCTTTGGTATAAGAATCTGCCTAGGCAAGCTCTCATATATTTCATAATTATAACATCTGTGTATTCCTTGTTTATACAGTTGATGAGCTAGTCAGGCCAAATATACTAAAATTTATATCATGTCCTTTCTATGGAATTTCTATAAATGGGTAAGGGGGGAGAATGTTATTCCCCTCTGATAAAGTGATTCCAGGGCAGATCCCAGGATTTGTGGGATCTCCCTATTATGAACTAGCAGTTATCAATGAAAAATGAGGTCCCCTACCTGTTACGGGAAGTATCTCCTCATATCGTATGGCAGATTACTTTAGGGACTTGATAAAAATATACCAATTATGAAAAAAACAATTAGCTGCCTCCACAGTGGCATGGCCGCTATTAAAAAAATTTAAATCA